GAACTATTATAAGCCACATATACACTTTCTGGACAAACATTCACAAACACACCACCACCAACACACAAACACACCACCACCAACACACACAAACACACCACCACCAACACACAAACACACCACCACCAACACACACAAACACACCACCACCAACACAAACACACCACCACCAACACACACAAACACACCACCACCAACACACAAACACACCACCAACACACACAAACACACCACCACCAACACACACAAACACACCACCACACACACACAAACACACCACCACCAACACACACAAACACCACCACCACCTACACACAAACACACAAATAACAAGAATCACTAGTGGTGAAATTTCCCGCCTAGTTCTGGGAAGAAGCGTTGGTCGCCTGGCAACACCGTCCTCCCGCACGCCAACCTCCTCCTCCTCCCGCACGCCAACCTCCTAGCTCCTCCCGCACGCCAACCTCCTCCTCCTCCCGCACGCCAACCTCCTAGCTCCTCCCGCACGCCAACCTCCCCCTCCTCCCGCACGCCAACCTCCTAGCTCCTCCCGCACGCCAACCTCCTCCTCCTCCCGCACGCCAACCTCCCCCTCCTCCCGCACGCCAACCTCCTCCTCCCGCACGCCAACCTCCTCCCCGCCCACCACTTGATATTGTTATACCCTGATGAAAGGCTGCCCCGCTACACAAGTTAATAACACCACACTTGGGAAGTTAACAATGCTGGAAAGGTTTGCTGCTGCGGCCGTCTCTAAGAAGCTAAGGTTGTTGTTTAATAAAATGCGAATTTTTTTGTTGTAAAGTTGTGTTTACTTCTCCCAAGGGGCCGTAGTCTCTTACGCGGGGAGATAAAGTGTCGTACTCCACGCCCTGAAAACTAACTTACTCGCAAAGTTAAAAGTATCGTAACATGGCGGGGGGTGGGGGGTTGGGGGGGGGGGGAAATCCCTGTGTTGCAGAGGGCAAGTTGACGCACTTAAGCAGGTTCGGGCACTTTGCCCATCGTATTGAGGCTGTTAAGTTGTACTCTGATGGCCATGATATAGATAGCTCTAGGCTCCTCATGTCTTTTATCTTGCTCGGAGTGGCTTGATGCCGAGGAGAGAACACCCGTCCACCCTGAGAGCCCCCGCCCACCCTGAGGACACCCGCCCACCCTGAGAACACCCGCCCACCCTGAGAACACCCGCCCACCCTGAGGACACCCGCCCACCCTGAGAACACCCGCCCATCCTGAGAACACCCGCCCACCCTGAGAACACCCACCCACCCTGAGAACACCCACCCACCCTGAGAACACCCACCCCCCCCTGAGAACACCCGCCCCCCTGAGAACACCCGCCCACCCTGAGAACACCCGCCCACCCTGAGAACACCCGCCCACCCTGAGAACACCCGCCCACCCTGAGAACACCCGCCCCCCTGACAACACCCGCCCACCCTGAGAACACCCGCCCACCCTGAGAACACCCGCCCACCCTGAGAACACCCGCCCACCCTGAGAACACCCGCCCACCCTGAGAACACCCGCCCACCCTGAGAACACCCGCCCACCCTGAGAACACCCACCCACCCTGAGAACACCCGCCCACCTGAGAACACCCGCCCCCCCTGAGAACACCCACCTAGGAACCTGACACTCCGCTCGTCTCCTCAACACTTGTAAGACGCTAGAGTGGTCCTCCTCTTTAGGGATTGTCAAGAATGGAAGGAACTGCCTCTCCACCTTCACTGTTCACCGTTACTTTCCCTGATCACATACACCAGCGACACTACCTCACACTCACAGTGACACCTCACACTCACAGTGACACCTCACACTCACAGTGACACCTCACACTCACAGTGACACCTCACACTCACAGTGACACCTCACACTCACACAATGACACCTCACACTCACAGTGACACCTCACACTCACAGTGACACCTCACACTCACAGTGACACCTCACACTCACAGTGACACCTCACACTCACAGTGACACCTCACACTCACAGTGACACCTCACACTCACACAATGACACCTCACACTCACACAATGACACCTCACACTCACACAATGACACCTCACACTCACACAATGACACCTCACACTCACAGTGACACCTCACACTCACAGTGACACCTCACACTCACAATGACACCTCACACACTCACAATGACACCTCACACTCACACAATGACACCTCACACTCACAATGACACCTCACACTCACACAATGACACCTCACACTCACAATGACACCTCACACTCACACAATGACACCTCACACTCACACAATGACACCTTACAATGACAACGTGTACCACGCTGCTGGGCTTACTATCTTTTGGGTGATTGTGAAGATATGTTGGATCATTATTTCATAAGGTAATGACAACATATTGATCATTGTAAAACCCAATACCTTGTTCCTTTTAAGGCTGCCACAATCATGCCTACAATCAACCGCTTGAAATATACTGGAAAAAGATTGAGAGTAATTTAATTAAAA